AAAAAAAAATTTAACATCGTATCGAAACTAACAGATTTCTTGCGTAATTTGATCTGATAAGAAGTTTCATGTTTGTTAAAAGATCCGATATCCAATATTCTCTTAAGAGTATTTCTTAGATACTCTTGCATATACATATACAAGATGCTATAAAATGATCGGATCAAATTTCAACAAACTCTTTAAAGAGTTTGAAATCGATACTTTGTCAACGTAAATGCTGAGGAAGATAATTAGTTGTCATAATTTTACAATATTAGATATTATAACTAAACTTTAAATTAAAATAAAAATAAAATTGAATTAAAATGTAGGTTTTGCTTGAGGATTAACTTATTGTTAGTATTAAATAAAGATTTTGTTATTTATTTTTTTCCGTAAAGTATAGTTTACTAAAAACTCCTTATTTTAAATTGTTAATAAAAATATTATAAATGTTTCGACATTTTTATCGAGAAAAATTTATTTCAATTCAATCAACGAAAAACAAATGTAAGGAGTGCGATATTCAATGACTTCGGGACATTTTCTGTGTAATACGAATGTCAATTGTGTAAATCCTTTGAATGTGATTAACGAGTGTCCGCTGTGCTCGTGTGTGGGTCAATTTGCATCCCACGAGCGATATTCGCAAAGCCGCATCTGTCGAGACTTAAAGGCCGCTTACAACGTTTAGCACGCCGTAATACTAGCACGCGCGTTTACCTCATAACAGCGATGACGATGGGAAATATAATACTTACCGCATAATTGTCAGTGCGGGTGTAGTAGGGTGGTGTGGTGGTTCTAAAGTTAGTGACGGGTAAGGGTGAGGCCGATACGTTGATGCCGGACCGCTTGTTAACGATGACTCTGGGCGACTCCACGCCAACCCAGTATGTGCTATAATCCTGAGCGAAGGTTGAGCTGCAAAAAAAACAATTGAATACTAATAATCAGCCATAATGCACAGTATACGGCGAAATAAAACTAGGAGAAGATACAAAATTATTTTGTTAATCTAATATGAAACATAAAATAGAGCAATATATAGAATATTTTACTGCAGATAATATTTTCCACTAACACGGGTACTTTTTTATGTCGAATATTAATTTACAATTTTTTTATTGTCAAGACTTGTGGGTCACTTAACACCGAAATAATGTCAAACTAAAAAATTTACGCGAAAGAAACGATATATGTTGAATTAAAATGTTTTTGGATCTCTCAAAAATTTAATAGAACGTAGCTTTAATCGAAATTTCAATAATGTTATGTTTATAAAAAGAAAATTGTTCAGAAATAATACAGAAAGTATTATATTTTTGCATGGTTAATTGAAAATAAGTACGAGTATCTAAAAAATTATATATGATTTAAAGTGATGAGAAAGTTTATTTGTGTGAAACTATTATAAACATTTGATTTAAAAAAATTTGTGTTTAAATCTTACATTCTTTTTTGTCTCTTTTTATTTCTGACACATCTGACATATAACGAAGCACTAAATGCTCAATGTATGTGAAATAAGGGTTTCTGTAATACATCTTGATAAAAGTCTCATTGTACCTTAGAAAGAGATTCATTTTTGTTAACTTCCGATTATCTCTTGGGAGAATTAAAATAGATGGAGAGAAATAAACCATTGTACAAGATCAATAGAAACAAACTTTGGATTAGAAGTACATAACGTTACAACATAAATTTCTACCAGTTTGATTTCAACTCACTTATTTTTATATATTTAAATATTTATTTGTTAAAATTAAATAATAAAATTTTAAGGCTCTTCTCTAACATTTATTATCAGTAAAGTCCGTGTTTGTATAAAAGTGCTTTTAGTGCGTAAAACTCTATATTAAGCATGATATTAAACGATTATATTATCTAATAAATAGCTAATTTATATTTCATATTTTCTCGTAAATCTTTTTTATCGTTTTTTTCGTTGGTACCAGTTATGGCAAGATATAAAGATCAGACTACAAAAGAAGGGAGAAATTCCCAAATGGAGCTGTAAAATCAAAATGAAATTTTTGTGCTTCTTATAAATAAGTTAAAAAGTTTCAACAGGGGCGCAACTGCGCGCCTTATTAAACATGCATTAGTAACTCCGTATCGATTATCACGGAAGAAAAGTTCGTAAGGAATGTTTCGCGCGTTTCGCGCACCGTTATGCCTGTACAAGCGTGTTGAATTCCAAACACGAACTGCAACCGCGCGTATAGTAATTGTGATTCATAAGTGTGACACATCGTGCTTCTGTGTGTGTGTGCGTGTGTGTGCGTGCAGAGGCTGAGATCAGTCGCGGGAATCGTGACTCAACAATTAAGCCGTTTCCAGACGCTGACGTTTCTTGCTCTGAATTTTACAGGTGTTTCCAAACTTCGCGATCTCGTAAACTCTTGAGAATAACAAGCAGACTCGCGCAGTCTTCTTGGATGCAGTAAATATCCGCGAGAAATATTCGAGCATGATATAACGAATCTTTTATATATATATTCATTAATCAAGAAAGAGTGAAATAAAACTAAGATGAATGTTTTTACAAAATATTAATTAAGCAGTAAGCAGTATTAGAAATTTAAATGTATGAATTCTTTTTTATCATGATCATCGATAAATTTGCTTTTATACGGATGACGTTGAAATAAAGGAATCCTGTCAGCAGGATTGATTGAAGATTTCGCTTAGTTCAATGCGAAATTCCAGATAGATCGCGTGATTCTCATAAAAAGTCAACATCATTACACAACATCATACTTACTTGAAGATAATAATACCCTCGTAGTCGACTGGAACCTCCCAATCGAATTCAAGATTCTGCTTCCTCTCCTTACTCGTATGAGTCACACCATTCTAGACACAAGAAACAGGAAAAGAATTTTTAGATAAATGTACGTCATTGGCGCCCGTAAAAAAATTCTTGATAAGTAATTCAACCTTGAAAACAATTAACAATAGAAAAACATTCTTGCACTAAACTGGAGCACTTGAGTGCATCATACATTTATCACGTGTACATCGGAATGTATTTATTTTATATCTGTACTGTCAAAATAATGGTTTTATATCTTGAGATGCAGATAACAATAGTTACATTTTGATTGGAAATCAATTGAGTCAATCTATTCAGTTAAAAAGCGAAACGATTACTTATATGAAACTTTATTTGAGATATCAATGTGTTACCAATGTAAAATTTAAACATTAAAATTGAATAATAATGATAAATAATAATAATAAAATCGAATAATAATTCGATAAGAATTTGACAAAATTGCTTGAACTGAAACTTAAATTGAATTATCTCAAGTGCCACTTTTAAGAATTTTGGCATCGAGCTCTTCAGTCGCTCATAAATACATTCGTAACTTTTATTTCGGAATGATTGAAAATATTTCCAAACAATGAAATTGAAATGTTATCGGAAAGTACCTTCACACCCTCGGTGCACTCTACGATTTTCGCGTTATCAGGCAGATTCGTGAATTCACCCACGTATTCGCCGGTATCGATATCCCGGGCGAGGATCAGGAAGCCCTGGTATGAGAGACCCTGGGGACTTCCCAGGATCAATCGAACCCTGCCTTGTCCGGCTGCGGGTAGCACCTGATAAGGTGGATTTGATGATTGGAGGAAGGTGTCGGGATGACGCGGCGTTAGGTCCAGGCACGTTTCCGGTGGTGCGCCATGAGGTAAACCCAATACCTTTGCGAGCAAACCGATGGCCATAAGAAGCAACGTCCTCGACATTTCTATAACAGAATAGTCGTAAAGTATGATTAAACGACAAATATAAATATGTACATTCTTGATATACTATTCTACGACGTTATCACTTATGAACGTTAGTTCTTACTTATGAACGATTATGATCGATACCAAGGTAGTCAAATAATTCAACGTGAAAAGGACATTTGATTCTTTTGAAATTTATAAGATTTAGATTAGCGTGTAATATTTATATGCCGCACGATAATACGCCACTTAATATGAATAAAACTAACTCATATTGCACTGTAAATTTAACTATGTTGAGTTTACTCTTAGCATCCGATTTGCAATTAACTTTTGCACAATCACAGCGCGTTAGAATGAATTACAATACTACGACTGCCTGGATTGTCTGGAAAATATTGATAAACGGCACAGCACACTTGTCTAAACAATAATGCAGACAGCACGACTATTTAATCGGCTGTTCACGTCGATGTTGAATTTATCCGATATGACGTAAACAGAAATGTACGTCTGACAGCAATTCTCTGTCGCTTATCTATAATGTACAATCTTATTCTCAATACTTGAGTGTGCTCATGCAGCATCACAATGTTGTGCTACATAAATTTCAATTTTAACAGTCATGAATTTGTATTAGCAATTGATGAACGATCGCGCAGAATTTGTGAAAATGCTGATTCCGGTTGTTATTCATGTGTATAAGTCATATAATTTTATTCAGCAATTAATTTATCGAAGAACAGAATTTCAATTTTAAAGAATTTCCACATTTCTTAGACATTATCTGACAGTAGATTGATATCTCTTTCCGCGTTATCAATCGATATTATTATATCTTTATTATTCTATTTTTATACGAATTTTTATTCAAAATCATAGATATCCTTTATATTTATTGCTTAATCACGCAGAAAAGATACATTTCATCCTATCGAGATATGTGTTCAAAAGTATCAAGCAACTCTGATATACGATATTATAATGATATCAAAGATCAAGTAGATCAGAAAATATCTATTAGTGATCAATTGTTGATAATTCCTTCGTAATACGTTACAACGCGAGCTTAATTGCTCGATCATGTAGAGCATTAGATGGAACAGGCGTAATAAGAGTCACAGTCGAGACATTAATGAGGCAGGCAAGGGTGATGTGTGAGAGAAGTGAATGACTCCGTGGAACGAGCGCGCTCGCTCGTGCGGCTGCCCACGCCTGAAAGAAGCTGACTTTCACCTATTGAGAGTTTAACTCCTTGCTGAGTTTCTTGACTCGCGCATTCCGAAACGCCTCACTGCTACTGAAATATCCCCCATCGCCTGATATTATGCAATACCGACTGACCCTCGCCATTGAAATGCTACGTAGCCACATAAACTGCAACATTTTTCTCTGTGAAATATTTGATCGTCAAAGTCGAAAGCGTTTTAAAATCATGATTTTGTATCGCAAGCTTTCTTCAAGACTCAAATTATTATTCCCAACTGCGTGTCTTGATGCAACGCTTTGATCTCTATATGACAGAGAAAGATTTTTTACAAGGATATTTTTATATTTAAATAAAATTTATTCAGTTAATCGAGTGACCAATTTCAATCTTATTTTAAGTATCGGAAGACGTCACTGACACGAATACTTTGGTATATAAATTGCAAAATCATCTGTTTAGGAAATGAAGTAAGCCGCTTAGTCAGCGACACGGTATTTCGCATGACTTTTACAAATTGTTATCATTGCAAAATTAATGCGCATATTCGAGATAAATTCGTAACCGCTGATTATTCACTATTTCTATATTTTTATGTATAGATACTTAGATGCAAGCAACAAATGAATTTGTGGATTAAAGTTGACTCGTGATTGTGAGGTACAATAATATTATACAAATTTATTGCAAAAAGTTATGAATAATTGTCTTCTCGTATTATGAATTATGTAGGATAGTTCATTGTTGGCAGAATTATACGCCCATTAATTCAATGACAATTTAAACCGAGACATAATAACTGAGAAATTAGAATGAAGATTCTCCGCTAAGATTGCAGAATTGTGATTAATCACACACACAGACCGTACATGAATAGTTATATAATAACAAAGTAGTTATCGTAATAACGCACGCAGTAACACACACGGCTATTTTTATTTCAAATGTATAATAATACGCACAGTGCGTGTTCACAGTCGACCCACGCGCGTGATTCTTCCTTACATTTGTTTCCAATTAAAATTATATTAATATTTATCACAGTATTAATATATATATATAATAACATTTAATTAAAAAGTATTTTATTTTTCTTACAGCAATTAAGTGCGAATAATAAATAGCGATAATAAATTTCTTAGTTTCTGCGACAAATAATAAATCTTTCCCGGCGACAAATACGTAATATCGGCTGCCGTATTTGATCTCCGCATTTCCATATTTATATTCCATATTCGCGACATAAATGACATGTAGATATAATAACCGATAATTGGGAAACACAGTCGCAAAGAATACAATTATCTCGACAATACAGCAATCATGGGCGAGTTGAGGCGAGTCCGTCGACGCCGTCCAAGATCAATATAGCAGATGCACTCGAAATTTCTCTCGGACTGAGCCCGCAATTTGCAAACCGCTGCGGTTGTCACATACGCGCACGTGCGAATCCGTCGGTTGGTGACACACACCTAGATGCACCGGTTACACGTACGCGCGTCGAGAAACCAGGACGGCTGTATGTTTTTTTTTTTTTTCTTATCCGTAAAAGCCGTGACGATACCGCAGATAAAAACCTCGTCGGAATAGCGTTCGAGTCGTGTGCGACAGATCGGAGAAAAATTAAGACCGCGATAATCGCGTGTATGCATAATATTATCGTATATCATTATACCATTGTGCGACAGAGAGAACGAGCACAAGGTTTCGTTTTGCGGTTACAACGCGTGTGTGACTCACCCATGGTGTCGCGCTCACAGACACAAACTCGCGCGATTCAATGATGCACACGTATGTGGATTCACTGGAGCTTGGTAGGTGGACAACACCTTCCTCCTGCGCGGTTCTTTGTCAGCTCACAGGAAATTCCCATCGCGATGTACACACGGCTTAAATCGATGATTATTTGTTGCGCGAGCTCGGTGAAAAGAGAATGAATTGTAAATATTTCTTACATTGCTTTCTTTATAATTACACGTTATTTTTCCTTACACGAACAATAGAGTGAAATATATGTTCACCTCAGAGCACCACCAGTCAACTATGATCAAAAATAAAAAATTAAGTTTAAAAAAATACAAAGTTTAAAAAAAATACATTAAAATTCTTACAACGCTCTTTATGAAAAAAATATCTGCTTAAATATAATTAAATAATGATTTTTTATTGTACTATTTTTTTTAAACTGTATTGCGCACAAATCTCTTCAAACAAACAAAAAAATTAAAAATAGCTGACAAGCGATTGAAATCGTCAGATTTGACGGATTCCGGAGAGTGATTTGTGAGGCCGGCTTTCGAAATGTGTTATCTACCGCGTATATCTCATTTTATAAAATATGACAAAAACTGCAGTACAGCTGGCAAAGAGGCAAATGTGTTGGTGTGACGTTAATTATTTCCTTAGCGTAAAAGCTAACACATCGTCTTTAGCGTGCTGGGAAGTTTTTGTCGCGCCGTTACTTTGAGCGTGGTAAACGCTAAAGTCTCATTTTCGGCATAAACTCACGCTGTAAGGTGTCAGAAATTTTCACACATGTCAGATGTACATTATCATTTACCGTATATGCAGCATAAACATTCGCCACGCTCAGAACCTTTACTCTCGTAAAGTTTCATCTATCATTTTACCATCGAAACTGTCGTTCCACGCAAATATTCGCGAGTTCTTGCATTCGAAGTAGAAAGCCAGCTTCGTAACAGAATAAAAATCGGCTGTGATGACAGCGCGTTTAAGCGAAGTATCGTAATTACCGAAGTTACGAAATGGTGATTCTGTAATTCTGTCAGGACGTTTTCGGTATTTTTTGTTTCTTCAATTTTTCTTCCTGTAATTATTGCCGCATCCGTGTGTGTGCGTGCGTGCGTTGCCGCAGCAAGATTGTTCGATACTCGAGCGATGTATCCGGTGGGACTTTGTTATAGCGGCGCATCTCTCTGCCTTATTATGCAACATGATCGTCACACGATGCACTTTCGCGTACGCTTAGCTGTGCGCTTCGCTTGCTTAGCAAGATATTACTAATCTGTCAGTTCAATATGGACTAGGCGCTGATGTTATGTCTACGCTATATCCCTTGAAGCGAACCAACTGTCGCTTCAGATATAATATTACGCAAGAGTAATATCAGTAATGACAACATGGCAATTAAAAGTTATATGATGGACTATGATGAACGATAATGAGACATTTAACTGATGACTGTTATAGGTGGTGTGCGTGCATTAGGGATTGCATTCTAATTGTAGTATTTCAATTTAATAAAGTGAGACACGCTTTTAAAAAAAATGGACTACGCTAGAAGCATCAAATTAGCGTAATAGAAAACTGAGAAATATATTTAAAAAAAATTTCACGTTTTTAACTTTGTACTTTTGCATATTTATGCATGTATTTACATTGAAAATACTGCAATGAATCGAAATGGATTGTTCCAAACATTAGATTTGTGTCTCATTTTTTTTCGATAAATTATTAATCTCTCATGTGGTCGAATGTACAATAGATGCTCGCAGATTGCAATTCAGGCTTCCACCACAAATTTTTAACACAATTAGCAAATTGAAACTGCAGAAACAAAAACTCCTAATACAATTTTGAGCACTTCTACGAGGTAAATATGCACACCATCGTGGAATACCTAATAAAGGTATTCAGAACGTGTGTCTTTCGAATGAGCAATTGTATTCGCACAACGCGCAAGTTCTACCGCTCTGAATGTCATTAGGCGGCAAACAAAGTATCGCGTCTCGTCCCTTTCATGTTTGGTGAACGCATCGCCATGGTTACGTTGCCCTGTTGTCCTAGAATTTCCACGTCGAACATTACTCTCGCGTCAGTATGTCGAACCGCAAATTATTTTATCGGTTACATAAGACCAGAAACAGCCGGGCAAGAATTCAGAGAAACGCCATTCATCGCTGCCGCAATTATTCTTAACGGCCTTTTCCTTAACGAGCACAGCGCTCACCGCAACGCGTCGATCTCGTTCCGATTGTTTCACTTCGTCTTGTCTACAGGTTGAACTAACTAATTAGAGCAACCTGCGTCCAAGGCTGGACGCAAACTTGACGGACATTACTTTCGCATCCAATCCACAAGGTTCTCCAGCGTAATTTGTATCTCACAATAATTCTGCTTTAAAGAGCTGATTGAAGGGCTTATTTCTCCACATTATTTTAGACATTATTTTTAAAAAAAGCCAGAGAAATTTATAATTTTCATTTTTTATACAAGGCAAAGACGAATTATATGACAAAGATGAGTAAATATCGAGTTAACATCGAGTTAACATCAATATACGCGTTTAATGAATATAGAACAAATTATAATTGTAATTAGAAAAGCCAATAATATCATGTTATATCTTTCGGAAATAATTAATTCGATTAATTAATGATTGTGACTTATCCTGACATACAAACGGTAAAACCCAGCTGTGAATAATCGCATGTATTATTTATAATCCTGGTTTCAGGATTGAAAATAGCGTATCAATGTGATAAATATCCATTTCAATGATTACTTCAGCGACTCATTACTCAATTTTCAAGCATCCAAGAAGATTCTAAAAGCCAATTTCTTCAAAGTCGATTAACTTTAACTATAATTCAATCGTCTCTTTCTTCCTTTCTCTCTATCTTTTCCGAATTTCCGTCTCTGTATATAACAGAAGATAGAGAGACAATTGCCTCATGATTAAAGTTAATCGACGTCGGAGAAATCAACTTTAGAGCGTTCGAATGGATCCTGGATCCAGTCACTCGATCCTTCGCTATCGTTGCGGAGAATCGCGTTCTCACCGGCCACGACATATAAAAACCTGGATTAATGAAAAGCTAGCTCGTCAATCCTTCATTTATTTTATCTTATCTTATAGATGAAAAATAGCCAATGTGTATATTTTCATGTCATTTTCACTGAAGTATGTAATTCGTGAAGTCTTCTGTCACATTTTAAAATAAAATTTCTGCAAATAAGATTTTAATCTTTTTCGAGTAGACTAATTTACGTATTTTTATGAAGAACGAATACTTAAAGCGATATACTTTAATTAATAATTAAATGTAAAAAAAAATTAAACGAATTTACAAGTCCCGTCTACAAGATTAATCTCTAAAACGGACAGAAGACTTTAGATTATCGTCACGTTTATACTCGGAATTCTGAAACGAGCAGGAAGTAGTAGCTGAATTTCTTATGAATATTTCCTACGAACTCTTCATAACGCTATTTCATGAATTTTAAAATGTTTATCCGTATTTTTGTGCTGAGGTGATATTTTCACTTCCAATTTACATCGCGATTCGAGCGACTTTATAATTGAGCAGCAGACTGTGTTGCAAAACACTCTCCACCAAAAGTACAGTTATAATGGTAGTTTTCACTGGTGCCGTTAATACACATTCATGTTTTCGTACGACGTATAACCATCCGCGTATGCAAAAAATGAAGCTTATATATACCAATCAAATGGTTGATTTCTCGATGCATAGCATTAATTATATTTCAGATCTTTTTAAACATAGAAAAAAAAGAAAACCTATAAAAATATAAAAATTAAACCTATAATAATATAAAAATTCTAAAAGCTTGAGAAACGGATGATGTCACAATTTCATGTTATCACAACGCCGGCCTTTAATCTTTGTAACGTGACATGTTTCATTTATAGAATAACATCAGTCTCCAGTGAATCACTAACTAATCTATTTCTAGTCTATTCATGCAAAAGCAATCAAAAGTTTTGATTGCAAAACTAAACATTTTTTTCCAGAAAAATACAATAAATAAAAATAATAAAAAATTGAAGAGCAAATAATATCTTTCAATAGAGATATTATTTATTAATTCTTAGACAATAACGTCAGTTTGTGAGGTCACTGTCGAGTAATGTAAAAAAAGCTGAAATCTTTAACAGATGGTCCCATCTGGCTCGAAGAAAGAGCAAGTACGATTTGTTTATCAATCTTTTGAAATGGGCAAGCTGATCGTAAAAAGGTGATTGTCAATACACGGTTTTACGTATCGGGATGCTTTTAGAAAAGATAGTATCCCAAGGAGATAAATTGTTAAACAACCAGGTCACTCTGCTCTTTCTTCGATCACGACTGGCCAGTGAATACTTTAACAATAAGCGCATTTACATCTTGCTTGTCCACCCACACTAACTTATCCAACGGGATAGTGGTTTCATGGATTGATGCCACTTTCCAAGAATAAAATAATTTTTATAGAAAGAAATTATTAAAATTATAAAATTTATGAATTATTTGCATCAAAATTATTCTCTCGTCAATCTTATCAATTTAATTATTTTTGTTGCAACAAAGCAACGACATTGACAAGTTTATAAATTTATTTATTGAGAATTAAATCTGCATGCATTTTGCGATTATCGCGCAAACACTCACCGGTCTTCATCTCTATCGCGGATGCAGATTTTTCACGGGACGGCGTTCACCGCGGCGTAACACGCGCGCGCCAAACAAATTCGTAAGGATCACACGTGCGTCGCCGGTGTCTGATAGCACACGCGCACTAATTCCTTTGCGAAGAGATCGACGGAACGGCGTCGCACATCGATCGCGCCGCAGCCAGTTCTTAAGGATCTCCCGGTCGATCGCCTTTCCGACGCGGTCCGTCCGACGCGTCTGTCCGCTCGCCCGCGTCTTTCGCGATCGAGATCTCGATAATCGCACTCCGAAATCCGTAATCGGCCTCTAATCACGCGGCTCCTCGGCGAAGGATCGACGAAGACTAGCGACGCGTGTGCTCGATCGTTTGCCGGACGTAGATCTCGCGCGACACTTGTTGATCCCGCGGCGGCATACTTCCGTCGAGAGCGCCGAGAACCACACCTTGCGAAAGACTGTGCGAGGAATACGGGGCCGAGTTGAAAGGCCCTCGGCCGTGAGACCAGTTCAAGCCCGTAGCTATCCGCTGGTAGTAGGCGATCGATCACGCTATTCGATACTACTACTTTTCGCGCAGACGATCATGGCCTCGGCTCTCTCTTCTATCGCCGTAAGTTGCAACAAGTTGTTCGCCAATAATCTTGTCTAATCTTCACAAAATTTTAACTGCAATTTCAAAACCCGTTTAGTGTATCAGCAATAACAAGTATAATAAACACGAATCACAATTTCGCGAGAGATATATTATAGCATACGCTTTACAGAAAAGAATCTTTTTCGAAAATATTTGACTAAATTTTTTTTAATGTTTTAATTTCTGTTTTCTTTGAATTGTATTTGTAATAATTTTTTGATCGTTAAACGGCCGATAAATCATAAAGTTTCCTCTTGCTAATTGTTTTCTCTATACTTTCTTGCAACTTTGTTCTTTGAACCTTTTTCTTCCATTGTCTGGATATGTACTTATTTTATTTAAAATGCAGAAAATGTACTGTAATACAATTAAAAAGAACAAGTTTTAAGTACAGTTTAAATTTCTTATAGAATGTTTTACCGCGCGCTAATCAATATTTGACGGAGTCCAATAAGTCTTTAAGTCAATATTCTTTAAACAATTAATTATTAGAACAAAATATTTTTTGCAAATTAATAATAATGCAAATACATAACAAAATCATTTTTGAAAATAGAAATAAATAATAAAATTATAAAAATCGATCTCAAACTGTCAAAAAATCTATCGTCAAAAAATAATAGGAGCAGAGAATATCTCATGTATTTCAAGATACATAAATTTTTATTTGTTTATATCAACGGTGTCTTATTTAGAACACTCGTTTTATGCCGGCACTGCGAGTCGCAGTAAGAGAGAGGGACTAACAACTATGCCAAAACGGTACGACGCGACGTACCGTACGTTCACCATTCGTCGTTTACCTGAGTTTTATTGACGTATTTTTGTCATTCTCTTCCTCGTATTCTCTTTCTTTTACCGTCAACATCTCATTGTCGATTGTAAACATAAAAAATGTAAACGATATCAAATGAATACATGTACATTGACTTCTGGAAATTGAGCTTGAACATCAGTTGTACAAACTAGCTTTCTTCTCGAGTTTTTTTAATAATGTTCAAGAAATTTAATTTAATTTTTGTTTTTATTATATAGTTATTTATATATAAATTTTATAATAAGCTTTAAGAAACTTTTAATGAAATAATCTGTAGATTTTACATTACATATTTACATTTATAATAACAAAATCTCTTGCTAACATTAAAGTATTACATTACATGTAAATTTAAAAAATATTAAACTTTTTAATTAACATTTAATAATTTAATTAATCTTTTCTACTAGATAAAATAAAACTTAATTGTATAAATTTGTGAAACTTAACATGTTATCAATTTACTTGAAGTCGTGTCTTAATGTGTGTTAATTTAAAAATTAAATGGTTAAACGTGCTCGATAAAGATCACGCAACTTAATGAAATTCTATAACGCGATTGAGATTTCGCGAAAAGAAAATGTTAATGCGTTTAACGAGACGATTAGAAAATATATTCTATCTTGTACAGGTATGCGGTTTACTTTACCGTACGGTGTGAATTGATAAACCGGTTCGGGATAGCGTTGCGCATCAACGCGTAACGCATATCACAATCCTCGTCCCTCATAGAATTATTTTGTTTAGCCTTTGTCATTGAAATAGGAAGCCTACTCTTTTATCTCATCTTTTAGATATTGAATTTAGTTAATCAAAGCACTCACAATATAAAATTTTCAAAATGTACTAATTGCTCCGCGTTTGCTTTAACACGTGACAATCTGTATCGTGTTTATTATAAATCTCTATTGTGCTCATCGATTTTATAATGAACTAATTTTGTAGAGTGTAATTAATTTGTTAAACTGAAGAATTTATTTTTCGAAATTATCTTAAATTTATATTATTAAAATGTTTTATAGCCTAATTTACATTTTTTAAATATAGCTTTTAGATAATTTGGAAATCAGTTCTTCAATTATACAAATAATAGATTTGTTATTTTATTTAATTATTATTAATAATTTTCACATTTTTGAACAAGAGAATGAAATTACCGTTCGTTCATCGGCTTCATACTTTCTGCGGTATTTCACAGAGGTCGACTGTTCACGCAATTCAAAGCTGCGTGATGTTTTACGCTTTTATCACTTTGCTTTACTCGTTACAAAATTTATTAATATAAAATTTATTAATATAAAAATATTATGCAAAGTAAATATTTAATTTTTTAATTACTCTTTAATGCATGTTATATTTTTGTTGATGATTTCTCTGATTACTTGCAGCAAATAATAAATTTTATATCAAATATTAAAATAATATGTACAAACACTTTGCATCAAATTATAATTTTATTGCTTCCGTAAAATTCACATTTGTACTGTCGTATCTTTAATTTCGGTCATTAAATTATAAAAATTGCCCGAGTTTAGAATATATAAATTATTTTCTAGTAAATTAATGACAAATCTATTTTTTCAAATATTCAAAGCTAATAGATTGATTTATAAAATTAATATTTTATAATTACAGAATGCAACTATAAATGTAAAACAATTCAAAAATCAATATGTGTTTAAGATACGTACGGAAGACTGCGCGGAATTCTGAAACTTGTAAATGTCTTTAACTTATCAGCAAATTTACCACTGTACATGACTCACCGGAAGATAAACAATCGTCTTATCATTAGTAACGTAGGAGCTCTAACCGAAGCAGCTTCGAAAGAGTGATAACAGAAGCCGACTTTCGTGTGTAGAGCTAAGCCGTATACCATCTGTAGAACTAAGCACCAGTGCAAATCAAGTTTACATTTTTTAATAAATTTGCAATACATTTGCAAATAGTGTACCCAGATATCTACTTAACAATATATCGTTCTGAGTGTTTAAAATTTTAAAAAGAAGTGCTAATCTCGAATGTCATAGTTTAAATCCAATCCTGTATATTGTAGTCAAACCTGTTTCCTCCTTCCTTTCCAGTTATCTAGTCATCAGTTAAATACCAACGTTAATTCGTTTCGTGGAAGGAAGAATAATTCTGTAAATTTTTTCCTTTTATCTGGTAATTGTACAAATACGCTTGCACATATGCGCGTGCTTTTGAATTATTTTACATTTTATATTACGTCTTACATTGCATCACAAATCTATCGCTTTATTATTTGCCGCTTTATGGAGTTTTATGAAAGTTCTCTCATATTGCATAAAGTTTGTGACAAGAAAATGCGTTCAGTTTATACATCCCGCTATACTTATAATAAATGCGAAGAAATTTGTTTTAAAGATACAAAAAAATATATTGTGTAAAATTATCATGTAAAATAATTGATGTTAGTAGTTCAGCATAGCAAATTTGAGGACATTGCTAAAGGAAGTCAACTATAGAACTACAATTAAGTTTTTATTCGCAGGATAGCATCAAAAATGAATAGATTAGCAATCAAAATCAAGCGGGTTTGCCAATTCAAAGTTGGTGAACGAAAACCGAGTTCAAATAATTCAATGCGATGAACAATATTGAAATATTTCTTGACAACTTTTTTCATTATACAGGGTGTCTGAAAAATATTGACAAAGCGCTCATGTGCAGGTAGAGCGGATTAAACTGATTGCGAGTCGAAAAGTCTTGTACCATTTTGCAATTTTCGCAACAGTTATTAATTACTAAAGATCGCCGAATAAGCGCCCAGCCTACCGCCGAATGCAAGCGCGCGAGATACGATAAAAAACGGGAGACAATCATATCTCAGAACGGGTTTTGCAGCTTGTAGCAACTCCTCGCGCGCCTAACGATCTTGATGGGTGTCCAAAATTTTTGGGACACCCTGTATAGCGAAATTTATGCGATGTTTATAAAGAGAATCTACGTCTGCGCCGCATTACAGTCGCGCATGTGCGTTCGAAGAGACCGGTAGTCCAGCGACTGCTGACCACGTCTCTCTTAGACGTGATACGGTCGTTTAACGCGAGAATATTACGCATAGCGGAAAGATTAATATATCGATCGCCGCAAAAGTTTAGTGTGAGAAGTCTTGAATTTAACGTGATCCCTACAACTTTAACAAATTGCGATCAGTTGTGCAATCGTGCGAAAGTTGTACACGACGATTATTCGAGCATGTCGCTGTTCGCCTGTTGCGTTCGTCGGGTGAGTTGCTCTCCGTCGGCGATGCAGTTGTAGAAATATAGCAATTACACGTAGTTGCTGATGCAAGCTTTAGTTAAAGTTCAACACGAATGAGACAATTGTGTAATTTCTATATAAACACATGGTAGGAGCGCGCGTGTAACGAGTACATTGTTTTGTTGTTTTTGCTAATTATAATAACATTAATTAATATTAATTAATATTAACATATAGAATTGTAGAGATAAAGAAATTTTTTTATTCATAAAACTTATTTTTACTGTTTCTCGTGTCAAATTAGCATTCTGTTGACCGGAATGCGGAATAATCAGTGAGCTGCGCTTTTATTAAAATTATTAAAGTTTCTTTTTCACTCTAGCTTTCTTTCATTATATATTCTTATTTTATTCGTTGATTGCCTGCAAAATTTTTATTTTATAAACTTTTCTGTAAATTAATATTTTATATTACATATTTATAAAATACAATGCTATAAAGATAACAATGATAAAGGTAAAAAAATTTGTTTCTAACTTTTTATAAGGACTGTAGTTTGCCAATTAATTTTTTAAATGCATTTTATTAGATTATATTTACAGTTAAGACACACACCTAGCGCGTTTACTTATGGGCTTTGGGACTTAAGCCCCTGGACGCCGAAGCGTCAGGGGCGCCGCAGCTTCTATATATTCATAAAAAAATGTCCCATTTGTAATTATCTCCTTGTTCTTAAGTGTGTTTCGGTAGAATTTAATTAATATTCAAAATCTTAATTATTTACTGTTTATTCATTGTGGGAGGGAGGCTAGATTGAGAGACGCTCGAAGATGACAAGTCCCTGGGTGCAAATTTTACAAAGCGGCCCTGCACACACCAATGATAAAATTATACTTGAACGGAATAATATTATTATGATTTAAATTTTTACATTAGAATAGCGTGATTAACACGTCAGTTGTTATTTATTCTAAATGTCAGAATGATGTGCAACACGTCACTTGTTCTGCAAGATGAAGCAAATACACAGTTAGCAAGCGATACCACATACAGACAAGCGCGCTTATTGTAAACTTTTATCAGTTTTATATACATTGCGTTGCAACCAAATAAGTACAAATTATAATGAAATTAATCACCAGCGCAAGAGATTAATTTTATATATTTTTTCTAAGTGATTTTAGTTATCAATTATTAAAATTCCGTATATTTTTCTAAATATCTATTATTATTATATATATATATATATATATATATATATATATTTGCAAAATTATGGAATAAAGTAAACGGCAGAGTACATAAATTGTGTGTATGTGAAAAATTTTTAATGACCGATCAGTGCATTATCGTGTTTTTCTTTATAAAAATTACAACGGTCACTGCTAGCAAAATGATAAACAACATCGACAATTGTTCCACAGTGCTTGAATTCCCTTCACTCACCCCTATTGCTCAGGTGGCAGAATCGGTAAATAGGAAAATAAAGTAAACTGTAGGGCAATAATATACATGCATGCCTGTGTACGTGTGTGTTTTCGTGTATATATTCGTATGTACGTATGTGTGTGCGTGCGCGCGCCCATGAAGAGAGTGAACGTCAAGCCGCTCGCTAGAGTGAACAGATACATTTCACGCTACTTAACGGATTTCATGCTCAAGTATCAAAGGGACTGGCGTCCTTGCTGTAATCAGCGGGGGTTGTATTAATAGAACGGCGATTTACTGTTTTGCAAATTTTTCTTAAAATCGATCCCGTAGCATTTGGCTCCATTCCCTGTGATGTCAAGTCCCATGCAGCGCGATCCTCAAAAGTGGCGAACGTTCTTACGAACGCTTATTGTTTTACGCAAAAAGTCTTCAAGTGATATTGTTTTTTTTCCATTTATTTTTGTAATAAATATATCGAAGTTTTTCTGAGAAATAACGAAAGTTTTTATAACTCTTCAAAAATGTATTTTTAAATATACAGGGTATCCGGTATCTCACGGATCAACGCTCGTGAGCGGATAGAGCACGTTAAACAGAAGAGAAAAGTTCTTTACCATTTTGCAGTTCTCGCAATAATTATTTAAGTATTAATTAAAAAATAGATAAATGATTTGATCTAGGCTCAGCGTAAATTTAATCGTTGTGGAGAAAGGAGGATCGAGGGCCAAAGCAGGATCTCAATTGCCAAAATTTCTTCTTTATTCAATAATGATAATAGTAGACGTTTCGGTCGATTTTTCGACCATCTTCAGTATACAGAGTCTAATACGTTGTACTAGCTTTCATTTAGTGAAAATTAATTGCCGGTTGTAACAAATTCGTCAAATATGACATTAGGAGGCTGTGTTACGAATTGCTTTGTGAAATCAGTTTTAGCACTAATCAGTTCAAATTCTGAAAGACAACTGTGGATCCCAATTTAGCAATTGAGATCCTGCTTTGGCCTTCGATTCTCCTTCTCCTTAAAGAGAAAGTGCTGTGTGTCAGCGGCGAGTCGCAGTACGCGCGAACAGTAGCATGCGGGCAGAAGCCTACAGTTACATCCTACGGTCTAGCCGCGCGCTTATTCGGCAGTCTTTTTTAATTAATACTTAAATAATTATTGCGAGAGTTGCAAAATGGTAAAGAACTTTTCTGTTTAACGTGCTCCATCGGCTCGCGAGCGTTGGTCCGTGAATTACCAGACACCTTGTATATTTACAGATTAATTATCTTCTGCTGGTTATCGGAATTCGCAAATTTGATCGAAACTTGAACTTATGCCTAGTGCGTTTGCAGTTGAGGAATCAATTCGCATTATTATCGACTTGCAGAGTAATCGACGAGCGGAAGAAGTGCCGCAAATGAAGGAGCCGCCGGAAATATCATGGGAAAACTCATTTGGCTCGCCTAGCGGCGTGCCCTTCGACGACGACACGAAGGAGCTGCTAAAAAAGTGTCTCGACGTCTCCGTGCCGCCGCCGACCAGCCTATCCGAGCTAATCAAGCGGAGCGATGCGTTCCCCGTGACGTTCCCCATTAACACTATGAGATGCTCCTCGCTGAGAAGCAGAGGAATCAGCGCAGAGACCATTGAGGTTTGCATAAATCAAGCTGAATTATTTAATCAGCCGATGACGTGTGAGTTAGAGGAAAATGGTGAAATCGCTCCCGTACGATTTCATATGTTTACTAAAGAAAAATAATTTTCAAAATCGCTGGCTTAGTCAGATTTTTTAGAGAGATTATTTCGCTTAAAGTTCAAAGCTTAAAGATTACAGTGTCTTAAGCAAGTCTGAGATATTTCTTAAGTTTCTATGATACGCAATAGTTTCGATTGGCTTGGCAAAAGTTTAATATTCTATTTTTTTCTCATATTATTTTTTAGTTAAACGCAAATTCGACATATCCGTTAATACACGAGGCGATGCTGCCCTTGATTGGCCGATGGCTGAAACACAAGCGATTACACGGTAGCCTTGTTGAAAAAGCCATGTACAAGGATATGAGCCTCATCCAATTTATCCAGCGCCTGCTGGAGAAAAGGGCGGTCTACTTTTACGGTCAGAACGATCGATGGAAATTAATTGACAACAAGACTGGCGTTGACGGATGGGAAAGCGTCGGTACCGATCACGAGAAGGAGCCATTGGTAAGTTTGCGAAGCCTTTTTAATCAACTATTTATAAAATAATTACATTATAATAATTAAATTGCCTATTAATATATAAGAAATAATAATAAAAATGAGAAATATAAAGTTTGCCCTTCCGCCAAACTTTGGCTGTCGCAACAATTTGCGACATGTTAATGAACGTCCTGATGTAATTTGACAAATAGGTCCTAACGAAATGCTTGAGCTACGACGAGATCAAATTATCAGCGATGATGGCGGTCTCGTCTCACACGGAGTTCATAAACGACGGCGCGCGAAGAAACAGAGGCATTGTGAGCAGTGACCCAGACGCCGTCCAACCTCGAGGGGTTATTATGGGTGTCGTAGGCACAAGGTTTTATGCATTTATTTAACCCCGCCTTCTCCAGGAATATTTTTATACGTGCGAGCACCGGTGACGTTCCTGTCGTGTCTACAGATGCCTCTTCTATTTTTATCCCTCTCGCGTGCGATCATTTATGTCTGCAAAAATCTTCGATATTACCATTCGATGCGCCACGATGAATGTGGAATAAATTAATAGCAATTTAAATCAAATATTTTTCATTTTACTTCTTGATTTCGAGATTCGTCAAAGGGGTGGTCATTTATCTCAAAATTTTCGGAATTATGTTTTATTAATAAATTATGATGTATGTTGCTTGATATCATGCAGATTCGCAAAGCCCCGAGTCATGGAGTATCAAGACATTCTCATCACGCCAATGCAAAACACTATCGATAACGGGTAAGTCATTGTTATTATTGTTATGTTACGTTAGAGCGTTAAATTGTTAAGTAGCGTTTATGCGAAAAGAAATTTCATCGCATCGCTGACTAATGTTGGATACTTTAATATAATGTACTTCATTTAATCTTTAATACGCCATCAATCCTCGCCTTGAATCATTAATTATTCTCCTTCGTGTATTTAATGTTATTTTTTATGTGTGTGTGTATTTATATGTATATCAATAAAAGGATGTTCTTATTGAAAAGGATTTTATGAGTCTTCTTTTATTAAAGAAAAAGAGAGAACAAGCTTTTCTTATATATTAAGGAGCGGGAATTAATCGCACAAATTGAAGTATTATGGGTAACATTCGAGGTTTTCGCATTATAATTTTACCCTTGTAATTACATCCAAATACTCTCAAATCCTTTTAATAACATGCAAACAAAATCTCTTGAAAGAATCAATCTATGCGAGACAGGTACGGGCCCGCGATGGATGGTATATCCGAAGAAAAACGCGGGTTGCGCGATTTGTGGGCGAAATTTTACGGCGAGGATTATCATCCGCTCTACGAGGAAGTCCTGAAGCGGATTAAATCTAAAGACAACAGACGTTACTTATCGCTGGCTAGCCAAACAGTTTCGATGTCAGTTTTTGACATCGAAAATTACATGAAGAGGACTTTGCTCTCCGTAGAAATAATACTTCTCGAAGCGAACACTCGCGCGGAGAAGCAAAACACGACTGCTTTCTTGCACGTGGTCGGTTTTGGCCTCGGTTAGTGCGATGCTTTTGACAATTAAATCTGATTTTTAATTAATAATTCTAATTAAATCTTTTATTAAGGCACTCTCGTACGTTTCTTCGATTATTAATTAAATGACGATTTACAGGTGTCTGGAGAATAACTCAGGATCAAGAGATCTATTTCTTGAAAACGTTCGAGATCGCCATTAGGAAGATGAACAAGAAGCTCAAGTACGTTTCCGACATCATGTTCGCTTATTTCCAGCAACAGAAGTGCGGCGGCGCAGGAAATGGCGATTATCTTGGCGGTTAGTTAATAACAAATGAATAAATGCAAATATTCTGTAAACTAACGTAATATGGACGATATTATTTTCAGATATAAAAATTCATTTCGCTGTGAGAGAGCCGCACAGCAGACTGTTCCGAGCTACCGATGCGAACAAACTCCTCGTTGTAACTTATGCCTGGGACGGAAACTCATTGCCAGGTTGAAATATTATTTTAATCTATCTCGAGTTATTTATTTATTATGAAAACTTGCACAAAGTTGAATGTTTCCTTCAATAATTTTTGCTTTACTAACGAAGAAAGATTTTATGCGGTGTGTTTATAAAATTGCTAATATATATTTTTCTCAACATTTCCACGTTAGTTGTGCTTTTTATTTACAGGCAACGAATTCTGGAATGGTTATTTGGAATCCAGCGGCGATCCAGCGGCCGCTTGCAGCAGCCAAATAACCGAGCTGCATAATTCTCGAATCAATCCACGCGCGTGCGGCTCCAGCCTGCATGTCGCATCCGCGGAGCATGGAATTCTGCACATATCCGATTACGCGAAGCTTCACCTTACTTAGGTAACATCCAATAAGCACCTTCTTATCGACGCCGGTCTTTTTTACTGTACGAAGTTCGATTTTGTAATAATCGTATAAGAAACCATACATCAGCGTGGAATATACCTTTAATCGAGAAATTGCGGAGAAGCTTCTTTTTTTTTTACCTTTGAAATTTTTCCACAGAAGCAGTAGAATTATACATGATATATTGCATGTAACGTGCTAGAAAATGTTTTATATCGAAAAAATTGAGCTCTTCCATGAAAAGGTATTGTCCAGAATTTATTAAACGATTTACCCTTCTCATTCTCCATTCTTTATCCTTCTAAGTAATGTAAACCAATGTTTTTACTATAATAAAAGTGTCAGAAGAAATTATTAATGCAAAAATTGACAAAATTTGTTGTCACAAGGCAGGTAAAAAATTTTTGTATTAATGAGAGATTCCCAACTTTAATTTGGCATTCAAAATAATGAGATAATGAATATAATGTGTAAAAGTACATTTGATAAAAAATTTTCTTTAAGAAATCTTACGAAAAAATTGAAATATTTTATTAACTTTTCTTGATAGTTTCCTATTAACGTTGATAATTAAATTAGCATAATATATTATCCTTTTATTTATAACTCTCATTTACCAAGAGGAAAAACATTGTTATTCAAAATATGTTGTTACATTGTTCTGCCTCGTGTACTCGTCACTCCAAGGCGCGTCGTCCTAAACGCGACGGTTTTTTTTTTTTTCTAACTTTAGGAAAGGGCCAGCCCGGCGGGTAACAGCGGGCAACGTAGACCATCTCGATCACCGCGCAGTCAACGAAGCCGCAGCGCGGACGTAGACTGCCTGAAGAAGTACACGGAGCGTCGCGTGGAGGAGCGTCGACACACGGAGATCGGCGACACCAACAAGCTCGACACCACGAGGTGGATGCCGCTACCGAGGAATGTGCCGAGGGGTCATCAGTCGGGTGCCAAGAGGCCGTCGCGTGACGAGCGGCAGGAGAGCGTCGACGAGACGACGGCGGTCGGCGAGAAACGATCCCCGCCGTGCGAGAATCGATTCCCCAGAAACGAGCTCGAGGCTGCGGATCGACCTCAACTCGCCGGCAGAAGCCACAGCACCGATGTGACCGCCCTAAAGAGCGTGGAGAAGCGCAGCATCACCGAGCAGCGCCGGCACACGGACTGCAGCGATCCGCGCACTATCGCCACGAGGTTGACCGCGCACATTTTCCACGTCCGAAAGCGAGAAATGCCGTGATCGGGATTGTAGTTGAGATTCGTAGGCGCGATTGATCACGATAGTCGTTACGGAGCCTCCAACGGGTAATGGCGTCTAGTTTCGGTCAGATTTCTGCTTCTTTCGTTCGCCTTTTCCTTCTGTACGCTGCAAGTGGATGTTCGCGATGTTGGGGATGTTGTTGATGAGAAATTCAAGTCTGAGGAGCATGCCGAACGGTACAACGTGAAAACATAGTGGTGCCTGGTTTGCTCCACCGACCGGAACTAGTCGCTAGTATCTTTTCACGTTGTGACGCTTATCGTATGTTTGCGATCCGCTGATTTAATAAAAAAAAAAAGTAATTTACACAAAATGATGGCAGAGAATCGAAACTTTTGCTTTATGTGTCTAACTTTCTATTGCATAGAATATTCAAACGATTCAAATATGTCTTGATGTTTCAATGTTATTCCTATTCTTTCTGTTTGCGTGGGATCATTGTTTCCGCACGATATTTGAAGACAATTTTGTGAGAAAGTACGCATGGATAGTTGGTTTCATAATTCTGCGATTTCTTTTCTGGAAAACTTTGGTTCGCTAATTAATTAATATTACACAAGGCAATTAGAGATTACGAAATCAATCTACTCAACAGGAATTAATGCAATTGCTCTATATTTCATGATGAAGAACGGATAGATTTTTTATCATTAAAAGTACAGAGTGAGCTTAATTAATTTCTGCTAAAGTTATATGTATATTGAAATAATTTGCTGAAGTCACAAAAATTAATGCGGCTGAGAATAGCGGCTGCTAATCGTGTATACGTAGCATGCTTTTACCAGAGAATCGAGATTTCTGCTTTATGTGTCTTTGCGTATATATGCAATTTAAATTAAAAAAATACGCAGTTAAAGCGAAAACTCGATCTCGAATATTTGATCTTCCAGGTGGATAGGACAAAATAACGAAACGAAGTTTTACCGAGAGATATCTCCCTTGGCTAGAATCGGCTGTGAGATCACGAAGAGCGCGACTACCCGGTGGATGACGTTCGTCAAAAATCCGTCGCCCAGTCCCATACCAAGAGTGAATTCCGAAAGGCGAAGTTCCAAGGAGTACGACAGAAAGGACGAGGAAGAGCACAAGGACTCGGACTCCTCCAAGTGGCAGCCTTCGAGAAAGTTTTCACCGGCGAAAAGCGAGAAAGGACATTTACAGAGGCAAGGTATGCGACGCAACAACTTTTACATTTCTTTTTTCTATTATCGCGCGCGAGATATTGCGATAATCAAATGTAATTGAATAAATTATGATAATTTGTTCGCAGATGAAATAGATATCAGAGACCGCTCCTCGAGTATCGCCGATGCGAACGAACGAGCGAACAAACTTAGCCAACGTATGCGAGATTTGTACGATTTCAAGACGGAGAACGAGTGGCCGAAACGGGCGGGATCCTCCCCGCGCGAGAACTCGTGGATCAGTAAAAGCAGCAGCGAGGAGGAGAGGAATAATTATCAGCCGGTTCGCAGGAACAGTCAAGATCTGGAATTCAACGATAGATTCGATGGGTTCAAAGTACGATCGGTGATGAGATTTTCGAGCAATTCACACGTTAAAAAGCCCGACACTGATTTTTTTTTTTGTTCTTTTTAGCTGAAGGCACAGCACGAGGAGGACAGACGAAGGCCGCAGCGCAGCACTCACGACGCCAGCGAGGTATTCGACGACACGGAAGACGAGCGTCTGCGAAGGTTCAACGACCGGGTGCGATACTGCGAGGACCGCGGCAAGGTACGGGCGCGCGGTCGCGAGCGGCGCACCTACTCGGACGATTATGACGAGAAGGTCCGACGGGAATCCCGCTTGACCCGGCACTCGGAACCGCCGCCGATCAAGCGGGATCGGCCGGAAGCGCCGTTGGCGATCAAACGGCTGGCGGACAAGGAGAACAAGCGGAACTCGGACGTGAGCATGAGATCGCGCGACTCCCGCGTCAGCTACGCGGAGATCGATTTCCAGAAGAGGGACTCGCGTCCGAGCGACGCGAGCTACGCCAGTGTGACCCTCTGCAAGAGAGGTAGCGTCGAGTGCAGGAGCACGCAGAAGATCCTCGATGCGCCGCCGAGGAGGGCGTTCAGCCAGAGCGACGAGCGGCCGGCTACTCCGGTACCGCCGATCGAGTTCAACGACGAACGATACGTCCCCAAAAAGCTCCCCGAGTCACCAAAGAGGGACAGTACTAGGTACAAAGTGTACCTTACGTAGGGAACGCCTTCGAGAGAGGGCAGTTCGCGAAGCGGACGCCACTTTCTCGATTACCGATATGAGATGTTCGACTAGGCGATTTATACGTCGACGAGATAGAAGTACAAATTTGGAAATATGATTTGGAAATATGAGAGGGAAAGATGTGTGTGTGGAATAGATATGTGGGCGGAGGCATAATATCACAGGGTCGTAATTGTAAATACGTGTGTCACGAAAAATTCATTTGTACAGCGATAACCAATGTCAATTCTGTGTGTTGGACAGTGTCCGTCATTCTTGTTGAATAAATGGCGAATAAGTTATAAGATGTAGACAACTCACACGTAAAAGGAGTGAAAGGGAGTTGTTGTTTATGGATAACTGTTAAACATTCAGGTGTTTGCTGTGTTCATTGTAGAATAATGCGATGTTCTAAACGGATGGATGTACAACAAATATTTCCGATTACGGAATTTACGATAATGACAGCCGATCGAGCGCGATAATCCGAAACATAAAAGTGTTTGTAACTGGTTTATAATGAGTTACGTACATAAAAAGTTTCCTATTCGTGTTTTTCATGTCACTGTTCAAAGCGTAACTGCGATATAATTAATATTGTACGAATGATGTAACGCAAAGTATATAATAAAATATTCTTGGAAGAACGCGCCGTTTTTGCTAGAGTCTTTTCGTGTGCGTAAAATGTCCAGATGTTTTTTAATAATTAGAAAAAATTTTTAACACGAATAATTATGTTAATAATTACGTTATTTTATTTTAATATTAAATAATATAAAAATGGCATTAATTAAATTACTTTAATATTATAAATAATTAAATGTAAAAATATATGGTATTAGATATAATAAATCTGCAAAAGCTCATTTGTATGTAACTGGAATACATTGAATTGTAAGATATATGTAGCATTATAAACGCTTAGAAAAGAAAACCGGTTTTGATATGCACTATGTATTAAATATACATTTTTGCATGTATAATTTTATAAGAATGAAAAAATATTTAACAAATGTACATTGTGTATATCACAGTTTTTATATTATATTTTTTTTCTTTTTAGTGTCCAAATTTGTGTCAAAAATATTGAAAAGCAGAAGTCTATTTATGGGCCACCCTGTATAGTATTAGTAAATAACGGATCGGGAAAGCTAAGGACATGTAATATATATTCCAACAAGTGTCTTCAAAACTCTCTTTGATGTGTGAACATATAAGATTTATCTTACATTTCAATAACGGTCCACAGTCAAAGTGAGCAATAGAACGAGTGGAAAGAGCGTGCACGACAGAAAATTACGTTTTTCCTATAATTGATGACAAATAAATTCAGGTAACAATTTACATTTATAATAAATATGATTTTGGAAACTTCTAAATCTTTGTAACATTTAAAAACTTTTGAGTTTGAATAATATCCGGAACTATTTGAAATTATTGTTATATAGTTAAACAGATTTAAACATGTTTTGAACTTCTCGTTACGACTGTCGCGATTGCTAAACACATTTTTAGTGTCATAGAAATTAATTTTGCACAGCCAATTTTTATATGAGATATTTTACAAAGTAATAAACAATCACGTTAATTTAATCCACGATATTCTTCGATTTTTATCATGTTTCTAATTTACATTTATGACTTGAGCAGAAGTTAAAAGCAGATTAAATTAATATGATAATGTAATAAACATTTTTCTTGTTTGTTCCAGACGCATTTTAAAGAACATCTTGGAAAATGTTCAATCGTCTCGAAATATGTTTCGCGATTTTAATCGTTGTTGTGGGCAATGTATCCGCTCATTGGGCTGTTAATTGCCCAAAAAATAAGACAATTTGCAGTTGTAAATTAAATGAGTTGGGAAATTTCAAAATATTCTGTGAAGTCGGCGAATCTGCTATTGACATTGATGTTGTACCAGGTGCACCAAATAGACCAATTAAACTTGTGCATGTATGTGTATATTTTTAAGTCTGCATTTTTATATATGTATACTTGCAGAGATTAATGCGCTTACAGAATCATCACTATTCTCAAAATTCAAATTTACATAAAACTTAAAAATTAATGAATTTATATATCGAACAAACAAATTTCTATTAAAATTTCACAGAATAGAGATTTTAAATGTTCTTTTATATCTTTTTTAATATTTAAGAAAAGTTTTTACCTTTTACTCTTTATTATTTCTTACATAAATATAGAAATTAAAAATTTTTTGAGCTAAAACTTTGTATTAATTTTAAGATTAACTAAATCAAGTTGACATAAGTTAATGTTTTCTCCTGCAGATTACATGTGTTAATTCGAAGTGGTCAGATTTCAATCTGTATAATTTAATAAAAGGCGAAGTAAGGAAAATATATTTTTCCGAATGCGATTTACCGAAAAACAACAGTTTGAAAACAATTACAACAATGTTAGGAGTCACTGACATAAGGAAATTATTTTTTAACAGTGAGAATGAAAATGTGATCTCTTTAAAGACAATGCATCTGAAAGGCTTCACAAATTTAGTTTATTTGGATTTATCATACAACAATATACTCTCTACGGACGAAGACCTGCTAGCCGATCTGCCTAAACTAAACTATTTAAACTTGAGGGAGAACAATTTACGCGAAGTCAATTTACTTTTCAAATATGTCCCCATGTTGCAGACACTTAAATTAGACAACAATATCTTGCAATCAATAAAACCAAGCACATTCGATAGTTTGCAAAATCTGGTAATACTTTCTTTAAATGATAATAACTTAACTGAGCTTCCATCGGGAATCTTTGACAAACTGGTCAAGCTGAGCCATCTCTATCTTAGCTCGAATAACTTTCTCACCTTGTCGAACAACACATTCAGCCAGCTAAGAAATCTCGCAGTGCTTACTTTAAATAATAACAGTTTTATATTTTTGCCAAGTTACCTGCTAAGAAACAATACAAATCTACGAACCATTAACTTATCTTCCAACAGAAAAAAATTGTACACGTTACCAAGTGGATTTTTTAGTAATTTAACGAAATTAAGGATATTAAATTTGGGAAACAATGGACTCATTTTTTTGCCAAAAGACCTTTTGTGGGGATGTTTTTCACTAACTATTCTCGTACTAAGCAAAAATAATATCAATACTGTGTCCGCGAATTTATTTCGAGACCTGAAAAACCTGGCAGAATTAAACATAGATTCTAACAAACTTGAAAAATTCTCTCTTAATATCACCCTGTATCTCAAGAATCTACAAAAATTGGATGCATCAAAAAATCGTATTTCTTCCATTATCGAGTATGTTTTTATTATAATAATATAAATATTAATGATTATTTATATTTTTTATATTTTCCTAAGTAAAAAAGTCTTTTTCATTTTTCAGTCCTAATGCTTTTTACTCCGTGCCAAAATTGGAAGTATTAAATATGGCAGAAAACTTTTTAAGGAATATTCCCGATTACAGTTTCAATATATTATACAAATTAAAGATCGCTAATTTTTCACATAATTTTCTTACATTATATCAAAAAGCAAATATCTTTATAGATGAGAATGGAATAACATCGCTTTTTGTTGAGTGCGTTTTATTACAGGAATTATATTTAGCCAATAATCGTATTTCGCAAATATTCAGCGACTGGAAGTCTCTTCCTAATCTTCAAATACTAAACCTCAAATATAACTATATATCCAAATTATCTGTACGTATTTTTAAAACCATCGATAAAAAATAACAAATGTGTCATTATTCGAAATGCTTATTGATGTCGATAATTTGACGATCTTATTTGTTTATTTTAGATCGACGATTTGCAGTTTGCATCGAAAAATATCGAAATAGATTTGACATATAATAGAATACAACATGTCCACTTAAACAACGTCAAAGAGTTGTTGAAAGACGAAAAGTCTCATCGCGCAGTCATACTCATTGACAATAATCCTATAGATTGCGGTTGCAATATATATGACTTTCTGCGTTATCTCGAAGGCAAAATGGATCCCAGCATCACAAGCCATTTCAGTATAATACCAGGAAATTTAACTTGTAAAACCTCAAATGTTAGGCGCGTTACAGAATTACGATCTGAATCAATCATATGTGGAACAAAGAACTCAATCACTACCCAAACGTGTCCCGAAACCTGCAAATGCTTTGAGAAAAAGCACCACAATGTTTTTATAATGAACTGCAGTAACAGTCATTTTGAACGCATCCCAAACATCAGACACAAACCGCTCAAATTTCAGAAAATCGAATTAGACTTTGACAATAATAACATAATACAAATGCCGAATCTTACAGAATTGGGACCAGTGAGTAAACTTATCTTATCTCGTAATAAAATTTCCGAGATCACCTTGGGTGGATTGTCGAAAACAATAGAGGTAATTGAATTTATAGTATCTTATGTAAAAAATAATTTACAAACAAATATTAAAAAAATAAAACTAATTCTGATCTTTTTTTTTAATTTACTTTATATAGCGATAAAGAACAAATATTAAGTTGATTTTACAATAAAAATTTTAAATCAAATTTCACTTTAGATCTTGGAACTGCATAATAACAATATATCAACAATATCTTCCGATGTCTTAAATTTTTTGAGCAACGCCACGAATTTAATTTCATTGACGTTACGTAAAAATCCATGGACATGCAACTGCAATACTACAGATTTCTTCGATTTCGTTCTTAAGAAATCCAAAATTATAGCCGATCTGCATAATGTGACGTGTTATGGCAAGAATAAACTTATATCAAACGTGAAGGATTATTGTCCGGATTATATGAAAAATAACGAAAACAATAAAACGATTGACAAACAATTGACAATAATGGAAAACGATGCAAAGTACAGTTCCTCATTCATTTTCGTTTCTGTGGGATTTATTATCATTATTTTTGGACTATTCTGTTACATGTATCAATCGCAACTTAAAAGAAAACTGTTTTCATATTGGTCCATGACAGAAGAAGAATGTGAATCAGACCAGGAGACATTGTACGACGCGTTTATAAGCTACTCACAGAATGATCACGATTTCGTGATGAACAAGCTCGTGCGCGAGCTAGAAAACGGCTCGACACCTTTGAAACTTTGCCTTCCTTATAGAGACTGGTTAGAAGGCGAGTCGACAACGACGAACATTGCTAAGTCTGTGAAACTCTCAAATAGACAAACAGTGATGGTGCTGTCGCCAAGCTTCTTGGAGAACATTTGGGCAGTGACAGAATATTGGGCTGCGCTTTGTCAAGCGTTGGACCAGGATGAATCGAACGTGACATTAATTCTGTATGGTGATATAGATCTCACTGACGAGCACTTAGATTCAGAATTGAAAACGTACATAAATTCAAAAATTTACATCAAATGGGGAGATCCTTGGTTCTGGAATAAATTGAGACAATCGTTGCAGCATAATTTTAAGCTCAGCGCAAACCATAGCAAACCTGTATCGCTATATTATGAAGCTCATCAAACTTCGTGAAATTTTCTTCAGCTAAGTAACGAGATAAAAATGAGATGTTAAATTATTTTTTACATCAACTGTGAATGTGATAAATAATGGATTTTGGATTTTGTAGAAGTAGAAGCGCTGTACGGAAAAAAATGTGTCTTACTCTATTATTTTACAATTAATTATGCAATAATGCAAATTAAGTTAAAATTAAAAATATAATAAATTCAAACATGTTACAAATTTATATTTGTAACACCACCTGCAGACACAAAACAGAAATTGAGTTATTCAGTTATATTATAATATTATAATAAGTTCTTAATAATTACAATGTTGAAAAAACAAAAACAATTTTATAAAACAAACTAAAATTTTACAAAGTAAGGAAATGTTATACTTTGCAAGATATTAATATTTTTAGGCACGTAACATGTTTTATACAAGTAAAAATAAAAATGTTTGTGATATGCGATATATTATGTATGCAACGTTTAGTGCAAACAGTATTATAAAATCTAAATAATTGGAAATAAAATTTTATACATATTTATAAATATGAACTCAGTAGATTTATTCAGAGAAATAATTTATGTTGTACAATACCAATTATTGCCAAAGGCGTAAAATATGGACTACGCGTGTATATACTACTAAAACAAAATTGCAACAATCGTTTCATAGAGAGTTATTTTTCACGTTTTATTTACAATTTGCCAGATAAATTGCTACAAAATACGGTTCTCGAGTTTTTCATAAAAGTAATTTTGAATCTTTTTTGAACAGAAAATCAGCTTTGATATACACAATATATTTATTATATATATATATATATGTTTTTACGTTTGTGTATTTTTAAAAATTTAAAAAAATATCTAATAAGTATACACTAAGCATATTAGAACCTTTATAATAAATTTTTTATTTTTTTAGTATATAAATTTATATAAAAAATATTGAACAGCAGATATTAATTCATGAACCATCTTGTATAGTGTTAATAAATTTCGGAAATTAGAAAACAGAGGTCGCGCGACGCACCATAATATATATATATATGTATATGTATATATATGAGTGTGTGTATGTATGTATGTTTATATGTTATACACATGTACTCTATAAGTCTCCTCTACACTTTTGTTTATATTCAAACATATCAGATCATCTTTTACTTCGATAACATCTCAGTATCACAGTGAACGATACAACGGAAACAGCGCACACGAAAGAGATTTGCATCTCTTTCACAAATATTAATCACAAATAAATTCAGGTAAAAATTCACATTTATAATAGATATGATCTTAGATACTTCAAAATCTTTATGATATTTAATAATTTTCGAGTTTGAGTAATATCCAGAACAATTTGAAATTATTGTCATATCTATAAATTGGTTCGATATACATAAATATGTATGCCTTGAGCTTATCGTAACGATTGTTGCGATTGTCAAACTTATTTTTGGTATCATAGAAATTAATTTTGCAATACCAATTTTTATATTATATATTTTGCAGAGATAAAGAATCACATTGATTTAATCCACAATATTCTGATTTTTATCGTATTATTTTTAATTTACATTTATGATTTAAAAAAAAGAAAAGTTAAAAGCAGATTCAGTAATTATAATAATGCAATAAACATTTTTTTTGTTTGTTTAAGACGTGCATTTTAAAAAACATTTTGCAAAATGTTCACTTGTCACGAAATATATTACGCCATTTTATTTGTTGTCGTGGGTAGTATACTCGCTGCTAATTGTCCAAACAATGAGACATGCAAATGCACATCAAATGAACTAGTCGAAATAAATTGTAAAATGAACGATTCTTCTATTAAAATTCAAATTAGTCCAGGTCAATTTATGAGGGTATGTATATGTGTCTTTTTAAGTCACAGGAGTTTTGTATTTTATATGTATATACTTGCAAAAATTTATGCGCTTATACATACAATTAATACTATTCCTAAAACTTGAATCCACATAAAATTTAATAAATAAGAAATTTAAATATAAAATAAACAAATTTATGAAATCAAGAAACAAATTTCTACTCAAATATCAAAGAATGGTGATTTTAAATGTTTTGTTATATTTTTCTTATATTTAATAAAATTTCTTATTATTTACTTTAGATTATTATTTTCATGAAAGCGTAAATTTAAAATATATACAGCTGCAATCTAAAAAATGTTATAAGAATATTCCATCTCTGTTTGAGAATTTTTTCACACTCATTTGTAAAGCTCGTTAACAATTAGTTTTGTTAAAGAAAGTAAAATCTTTTAAAATAATTTTGCTAATTTTTTGCGGTTAAAAAATTTATATTCTAAGAATAATTAAATTATGATAAAGATTAAATAATTATTAAGATTAGGATTAAATAAATTGTAATCTATGATTAATTAAATAAAGTTAATGTTTCTTCATACAGGTTTATTGCTCTAACTTAAAGTGGTCAGACTTACATATGTACAATTTCACAAAATACGTAACAAACCAGATGTATTTTTTCACATGTGATTTACCAGAAAACAACAGTATAAAAACAATTACAGACATGCTAGGAGCTACTGATGTGGAGCATTTATATTTCCATTCGCAAAAATATTTGTCCTTTAAGAAACTGCATTTGAAGGACTTCAAGAATTTACATTTATTGGATTTGTCAAATAACTATATAGTTATGATGGACAATTATCTGCTGGAAGATCTATCTAATCTAGTAAAACTAGTTTTGTGCAACAGTAATTTGCAAACAACCTCTCTACTTTTTCATTCTTCCCCTCAATTGCAAGAGATTAACTTAGAAGAGAATAAGTTAATATCGATAAAACCAGGCGCATTCGACAAATTTCGTGATCTAACATCGCTAATTTTAGACAAAAATAACTTAACTGAGCTTGAATCGGGAATCTTGGACAAAGTCATCAATCTTAAGTCTTTGTATCTTACCTCGAATAACTTGGTCAGCTTGCCAGAAGACATATTTGGGGAGCTAAAATATCTCACAGTACTTAGTTTAGATGAAAACAATTTTACATCTTTACCAAGATACCTGCTACAAAACAACACAAATCTAATGACTTTTTACTTATCCTTCAACAAAAAAAAATTGGACACTTTACCAGATGGATTTTTTCGTAACTTAACACAATTGGCGGTATTGGATCTGGAAAAAGATGGACTTATCTTTTTGCCGGAAGATCTTTTGTGGGGATGTTTTTCGCTGAAGTTTCTTACACTAAATGGAAATGACCTTGGTTTTTTACCTAAACTCATATTCCGGGATTTGAAACAGCTGAGAGAATTGAAATTACACTCCAATGCACTTGAAGAACTACATAATTATATATTTTCGGATCTCAGAAAATTAAGAAAATTAGATTTATCAAAAAATCGTATTCGTTCCATTACCAAGTACGTTTCTATTACTTTAATTAATATATATATAAACATCATCAATGTTTATATTTTTTATATTTTTGTTATTAAAAAAATCTTTTCAATTTTTCAGTCAGCTTTTCCAAAGTTTAATCGAGTTGGAAGAATTGAATATGGCAGATAATTTCTTAACAGTTATTTCCGATAAAAGTTTTAGTTTTTTATACAATTTAAAGATTGCTAATTTTTCAAACAACTCTCTTACGTTACTCCCCATTACATATACTTATTATAATAGATTCGGAATACATTCACCTTTTGCTTTTTGTTACATATTAGAGATATTAAGGCATAATTCTATTTTTCAAATACTTGACAATTGGACTTTGAATCTTTTCCTTCAAAAACTGGATCGGAAAAATAATTCTATATCTAATCTATCTGTAAGTATATCTAAAAACATCGATAAGAATAACAAATGTGTTATTATTCGAAATGCTTATTCATGATGGCGATAATATTTAATGATCCCTTTTGTTTATTTTAGATCAACAATTTACAGTTTGCATCGGAAAATGTCAAAGTGGATTTGACTTATAATAAAATACGATACATCACATCAAAAAATGTCGAAAATTTTGTCAATAATGATTGGTTCAATAATATAGTGATATTGATTGGACATAATCCTTCGCATTGCGATCGCAACTTGTATGACTATCTGCGCTATATCGAAGACAAAATGCATCCTAACGTCAAAAGATATATTAATATAGATCCAGAAAATTTAAATTGTTCCACTCCATTCGCATTAGAAGACGTGCGTGTTATAAATTTGCTACATGAGTCATGTAAAACAATAAATACAAAGATTGTGATGTGTCCCGATGAGTGCAACTGCTTTCTGAAGCAGGAAGAAAAAACGTTCATGGTTGATTGCTTTCGCAAAAATTTGACTATTGTGCCAAGCTTCATGAAAAAGTCGTCCGATTCCTGGCAAGTCGAACTCAATCTCTCCAATAACCAATTAACACAAATGCCAAATTTGACAAACTTGAGTTATGGAGTAGTGAGCAAACTTATCTTATCTCACAATAACATTTCCGAGATTTCCTTGGATGGATTGTCGAAAACATTAGAGGTACTTAAATTTATTGTATTTTATGTAGAAGACACAATTTTGAAGAAAATATCTCATGGAACGTAAAAACAAATTAAATTTGATTTTTTTTTAATTTATCTTGTAGAGTAATAGCGTAATAAAAAAAATATTAAGCTGCATTTTACGACAAAATTTTAAAATTAAACTTTATTTCAGACCTTGGAGCTGCATAACAATAATATATCAACAATATCTTTCGATGTGTTAAATTTCTTGAGAAACGCTACGAATTTAACCCTATTAACGTTACGTGGAAATCCATGGATATGCAATACTACAGATTTCTTAGATTTCATTATCACGAGATCCAAAATTATAGCCGATCTGCATGATGTGACGTGTTATAGCAAAAATAAACTCATATTAAACATGACGGAGACCGATCTTTGTGCGGATTATGTGGAGAATAATAAAGAACGATCGAATACGGCGCACATTTACTGGTTTATATTTATTTTTACGGGATTAAGCATCAGCATATCTGTACTATTCTATTACAAGTATGAATATCAACTTAAAAATAATTATTTACACATGGGTCCATAATAGATGCAGATGGAAAAGATGAATCAGACAAGAAGAAATTATATAACGCGTTTATAAGTTACTTATAGGATGATCACGATTTCGTGATGAACGAGCTCGTGCGCGAGCTAGAAAACGGCTCGACACCTTTAAAACATTGCTTTCCTTATAAAGACTGGTTAGAAGGCGAGTCGACAACGACGAACATTGCTAAGTCTGTGATTTATCTCAAATAGATAAACAGTAATGGTGCTGTCGCCAAGCTTCTTGGAGAACATTTGGGGAGTAACAGAATTTCGAGCTGCGCTTTATCAAGCGTTGGACCAGGATTAATTGAACGTGACATTAATTCTATATGGTTATATAGATCCCTCTGACGAGCACTTAGATTCAGAATTGAAAACGTACATAAATTCAAAAATTTTTATCATCGATGGAGATTTTTGGTTTTGGAATAAATTGAGACAATCGTTGCAGCATAATTTTAAACTCACAATCAGCTTAAACCACAGCAAACCTGTATCGGTATATTATAAAGCTCATCAAATTTTTCATGAAATTTTCTTTGGTTAAATAACGAGATAAGGATGAGATATTAAATTATTTTTACGTCAACTGCGAATGTGACAAATAAACTGGATTTTTTATAGAAGTAAAAGCGCTGTACAGAAAAAAATGTGTCTTATTTTATTGTTTTACAATTAATTATGCAATAATGCACATTAAGTTAAAATTAAAAATATAATAAATTCAAATATGTTACAAATTTATATTTGTAGCACTACATGCAAACACAAAAAAGAAATTGAGGTACTAATTTTTATTAAGTTTTTATCAAGTTCTTAATAATTACAATATTGATAAAACAAGAACAATTTTATAAAACAAACTTAAATTTGAGTAAGGAAATGTCCCAGCGAGAATGACCTATTAATCGACGTCAATTGGATGTCTAATTGAGGTCGAAATCATCGATATTGCATCGATGTCGATTCGACATCAATTCGAAGATCAATTTCTCGCTGAGGTTATACTTTGCAATATATAAATATTTTTAGGCACGTAACATGTTTTATAGAAGTAAAAAGAAAAATTTTTCTGATATGCGTTAGATATGTATGCAACATTTAGTGCAAACAGTATTTAAAAATCTAAATAATTGGAAATAAAATTTTATACATATTTATATATTGTATATGAACTCAGTAGATTTATTGAAAACAATAATTTATATTGTACAATACCAATTATTGTCAAAGGCGTAAGAAATATGTACTCTACGTGTATATACTGCTAAAACAAACTTGCAACAATCGTTTCAAAGAGAGTTATTTTTCACGTTTTATTTACGATCAATGCCGGATAAATTGCTACAAAGTACTGTTCTCCAGTTCTTAATAAAAGTAATTTTGAATCTTTTTGAATAGAAAATCAACTTTGATATACACAATATATCTATTATGTATATATATGTTTTCACGTTTGTGTATTTTTAAAAGTATGAAAAATATTTAATAAGTATTCACTGAACACACACACATGTTAGAGCCTCTATAATAAATTTTTTTATTTTTTTGATATATAAATTTGTATCAAAAATAAAGAACAGCAGAAATTTATTTAGGAACCACCTTGTATAGTGTTAATAAATTTCGTAAATTAGGAAACAGTGGTAGCGAGACGTACCGTAATATATGTATGCATACTAATATGTGTGTGTATATGTATGTATGTATATATATTATACACATGTACGCTATAAGCGTTCTCTACAATTTTGTTTATATATAAACATATCAGATCACCTTTTACTTCGATAACATTTCAGTATCAGAGTGAACGTTACAACGGAAACAGCGTACTCAAAAGAGATTTGCATCTCTTTCACAAATATTAATCACAAATAAATTCAGGTAAAAATTTACATTTATAATAGATATGATCTTAGATACTCCAAAATCTTTATAACGTTTAAGAATTTTCGAGTTTGAATAATATCGAGAACAATTTGAAATTATTGTCATATTTTTAAACTGGTTCAATATACATATATATATATATATATATGTCTCGAGCTTATTGTTACGATTGTCACGATTGCCAAACTCATTTTTGGTATAATAAAATTTAATTTTGCACAACCAATTTTTATATTAGATACGAATATTTTGCAGAGACACAAACTGTCACATTAATTTAATCCAGAATGCTCAGATTTTCATCGTATTATTTTTAATTTATATTTATGATTTGAAAAGAAGAAAAGTTAAAAGCAGAATAATATAATAATGCTATAATAATTTTTTGTTTATTTGTTTAAGACGTGCATTTTAAAGAACATCTTGTAAAATGTTCACTCGACCCGAAATTTACGCAATTTTCTTTCTTGTCGTGGGAAGTGTATCCGCTGATTATTGTCCTAACAATGAAACATGCAAATGCACATCAGTTAGGGATTATTTGCTTGATGTACAATGTAAATTAAACGATTCTTCTATTAACATTCAAATTATACCACGCCAATTTATGAGGGTATGTATATGTGTCTTTTTAAGAGAGTATATATATGTGTCACAGGTCTTCTGTATTTTTATATATATATACTTGCAAAAATTTAAGCGTTTATACACACAGTCAATACTATTACCAAAACTTAAATTTACATAAAATTTAATAAATGATAAATTTAAATATAAAATAAACAAATTTTTGTAAAATCACGAAACAAATTCCTACTAAATATCAAAGAATGGTGATTTTAAACGTTTTGTTACATTTTTCTTATATTTAATAGAATTTTTTATTATTTAATTTAGATTATTATTTTCATAAAAACGTAAATTTAATATATATACAGCAATCTAAAAAGTGTTATAACAATATTCCATCTCTGTTTGAGAATTTTTTCACACTTATCCGTAAAGCTCGTTAACAATTAGTTTTGTTAAAAAAAACAAAATTTTTTTAAATAGTATGATTAATTCTTTGCGGCTAAAATATTTGTATTCTAAGAATAATTAAATCAAGACAAAAATTAAATAATTATTAAAATTAAGTTTAAATGAATTGTAATCGACGATTAATTATATCAAGTTCATGTTTTCTCATACAGGTTTATTGCTCTAACTTAAAGTGGTCAGACTTACATACATACAATTTTACAAAATACGTAACAAACCAGGTGTATTTTTTTTCGTGTAATTTACCAGAAAACGACAGTTTAAAAACGATTACAGACATGCTAGGAGCTACTGATGTGAAGCTTTTACATTTTTATACGTATAAATATTTATCCTTTAAGAAACTGCATTTGAAGGGCTTCGAGAATTTATATTTATTGGATTTATCGTATAACTATATAGTTATAATGGACAAATATCTGCTGGAGGATCTAACTAATCTAAAGAAACTAATTATGCGCGACAGTAATTTACAAACAACCTTTCCTTTTCATTATCCTCCCCAATTGCGTGAGATAGACTTTGGAGAGAATAAATTAATATCAATAACACCAGGCTCATTCGACAAATGTCATAATTTAACATTCCTTTCTTTAGCAAATAATAACTTAACTGAACTTGAATCGGGAATCTTCGACAAACTCATCAATCTTAAGTCTTTGTACCTTACCTCGAATAACTTGGTCAGCTTGCCGGAAGACATATTTGCGAAGCTAAAAAATCTCGAAACACTTAGTTTATCTAAAAACAGTTTTACATTTTTGCCAAGATATCTGCTACAAAACAATACAAATCTGCAAAGTTTTGACTTATCCTTCAATAAGAGAAAATTGTTCGACTTACCAAATGAATATTTTCAAAATTTAACAAAATTGGAGATATTGAAGCTGGAAAAAAATGGATTAATCTTTTTGCCGGAAGATCTTTTGTGGGGATGTTACTCACTGACTACTCTCAGTCTAAGTGGAAATAATCTTGGTTTTTTATCAAAACTTATATTCCGGGATTTGACAGAATTGTCAGAATTAAAATTAGACTCTAATGCATTTGAAGACCTACATGATTATATATTTTCGAATCTCAAACAATTAATAAAATTAGATTTATCAAAAAATCATATTCGTTCTATTACCGAGTACGTTTCTATTACTTTAATTAATATATCAACATCATCAATGTTTATATTTCTTATATTTCTGTTAATAGAAAAATTTTTTTAATCTTTTAGTCAGCTTTTCCAAAATTTAATCAAGTTGGAAGAATTGAACATGGCAGATAATTCCTTATCAGTTATTTCTGATAAAAGTTTCAATTCTTTAAGCAGATTAAAAATTGCTAATTTTTCAAACAACTCTCTAACGTTACACCCCACTACAAGTATTCATATGGATGAACACGTAATACATTCACCTTTTGTTTATTGTCGTTTATTAGAAGAATTATATTTAAGCCACAATGATATTTCGCAAATATTCGACGACTGGATTTCTATTCATTCACGCCTTAGGAAACTGGATCTCAATAATAACTATATATCCAGTTTATCTGTAAGTATATTTAAAAGCATTGATAAAACTAACAAATGTGTCATTATTCAAAATGCTTATTTATGATATCGATAATATTTAATTACCCTTTTTGTTCATTTTAGATCTACGATTTACAGTTTGCATCAAAAAGAATCGAAGTAGATTTGACTTATAATAAAATACGATACATCAGTTTAGAAAATGTTGAAGACGTGATCAATAATGGTTGGTTAAACAGCATAGTGATATTGATTGGACATAATCCTTTGCATTGCGATTGCGAATTGTATGATTTTCTGCGCTATATCGAAGGCAAAATGCATCCTAACGTCAAAAGATATATTCGTATAGATTCAGAAAATTTAACTTGTCACACTCCATTTCGATTGAAAGACGTGCGTGTTATAAATTTGCAATCTGAGTTCTGTATAGCAAACAATACAGATATAGTGATGTGCCCTACTAGGTGCAACTGCTTTGTGAAGCAGGAAGAAAAAACGTTCATGATTGATTGCTTTCGCAAAAATTTGATTTTTGTGCCAAGATTCATGATAAAGCCGCCCGATTCCTGGCAAGTCGAACTCAATCTCTCCAATAACAAATTAACACAAATGCCAAAATTGACAAACTTGAATTATGGAGTAGTGAGCAAACTTATCTTATCTCACAATAACATTTCCAAGATTTCCTTGGATGGATTGTCGAAAACATTAGAGGTACTTAAATTTATTGTATTTTATGTAGAAGACACAATTTTGAAAAAAATATCTCATGGAACGTAAAAACAAATTAAATCTGATTTTTTTCAAACTTATCTTGTAGAGTAATAGCGTAATAAAAAAAATATTGAGCTGCATTTTACGACAAAATTTTAAAATCAAACTTTATTTCAGACCTTGGAGCTGCATAACAATAATATATCGACTATATCTTTCGATGTATTAAATTTCTTGTTCAGCGCCACGAATTTAACTCTATTGACGTTAAGTGGAAATCCATGGATATGCGACTGCAATACTAAGGATTTTTTAGATTTTATTCTCTTAAGATCCAAAATTATAGCTGATTTGCAAAATGTGACGTGTTCCGGCAAGAATAAACTTATATCAAACTTGACATTGATCGATCTTTGTCCGATTCTTGATTTTGGGAAGAAGAATGAAGTGCTTGAAGTTGAGCATAATGAAGAACAATCGTACAGAAAACACATTTACTGGTTTATATTTATTTTTACGGGATTAATCATCGGCACATCTGGACTATTTTATTACATGTATCGACTGCAGCTTAAAAAATGGTTATTTAAACATGAGTCCATAATAGACGCAGTTGAAGAAGATGAATCAGACAACGAAGAATGATACGACGCGTTTATAAGCTACTCACAGGGTGATCATGATTTCGTGATGAACGAGTTAGTGCGCGCACTGGAGAACGGCTCGACGTCATTCAAGCTGTGCCTTCCTTATAGAGACTGGTTAACAAGCGAATGGACAATGGTAAACATTGTAAAATTTCTAAAATTGTCCCAACGGATGATAATGGTGCTGTCGCCAAGCTTCTTGGAGAACATCTGGTGAAAAACAGAATTTTGTGTTGCGCTTAGTCAAGCGTTTGACAAGAAGCAATCAGACATTATATTAATCCTGTACGGTGATATAGAACCCACTGACTAGCGCTTAGATTCAGAACTGAAGACGTACATAAATTCGAACACATACATCAGATGGGGAGATGCTTGGTTCTGGAATGAGTTGAAAAAATCATTGAAGCATGATTTTTAGTTGGGCACAAATCACCGTAAATTTAAATTTTAATATTATAATCAGATTTCAAATAAAATATTATCTTGTTAAATAACGAGATAAAGTTTGAAATGTTGAGTTATTTTCTATTATATCAACGGCGAAATACAGCGATTGAAAAATTGGATTTTTTATTAGTAGAAACGATGTGCGCAGGAAAGAAGTACTTTATTGCATCGTCTTACATTTAATTATACAATAATGCAAAATGAGTTAAAATTGATAACACAATGAATTTAAACATGTTATAAATTTATATTTGCAGTATTACCTGCAAACACGAAAAACAAATTGAGATAATAATTTGTGTTTATATTAATAGTTGCAATGCTCAAAAAATAAGAACAATTTAATAATATAAATTAAGATTTAGCAAAGTAAAAGAAATGTTATACTTTGCAAAATATTAAAATTTTTAAAAAAGTAACGTAATTTACAAGAAGACGAATTTTTATGACATGCTTAATATATGTATGTATATGTCACGTTTAGCGCAAATTGTAAGTTTTTAAATCTAAATAATTACAAATAAAATTTTTTACATATCTATGAACTGTGTGAGTAGATTCATTGTGAGAAATAATTTATATTTTACAATATCAATGATTGCCAATTACAAAAAGCATAAAAATAATAATGTAATAATATAATAAAGAAAATAATAATATAAAGAAAATATTTCTATTTCACATCTACAGTGTAAAAACAATATGTTTAAGCAAAATTGCAACGATTGATTTATAAAAAACTATTCTCGATTTAAGTTTTATTTGCGATCTATGCCGTATAAATTGTAACAAAATAATGTTTTCGAGTTCTTCACGAAAGTAATTTGGAATCCTTTTTTAATAGAAAATTAACTTTGAAATACACAGTATATCTATTATATATATGTTTTCACGTTTGTGTATTTTTAAAAGTTCGAAAAAATATTTAATAAGTATACACTGTGCATATTTAAACGTTTATAATCAATTTTTTAATTTTTTTAGTATATAAATTTGTATCAAAAATATACAACAGCAAAAATTTATTTATGAACCACCTTGTATAGTCTTAATTTTCGGAAATTAGGAAATAGAGGTCGCGAGATGTACCGTAAAATATATGTATATGTTTATATATGAGTGTGTGTATGTATGTATGTATGTTTATATATTATACCCATGTACCCTATAAGCTTCCTCTACACTTTCGTTTATATTCAAACATACCAAATCACCTTTTACTTCGATAACATCTCAGTATCAGAGTAAACGTTACAACGGAAACAGCGCACACGAAAGAAATTAGCAAATCTCTTTCACAAATATTAATCACAAATAAATCAGGTAAAAATTTACATTTATAACACATATAATCTAATTGTAAGATAATATATATAATCTTTTCAAAATCTTTATGACACTTAAGAATCTTTGAGTTTGAATAATATTCAGAACAATTTGAAATTATTCATATCTTTAAACTGGTTCGATATACATATATATGTATGTCTCGAGCTTATCGCTACGATTGTAGTGATTGCCAAATTCAATTTTGATATCAATAAACTTTAATTTTGCAAAACCAATTCTATATTAGTTATTTTGCAGAGATAAAAAGTTACATTAATTTAATCTACAATACTCTGATTTTTATCGTATTATGTTTAACTTACATTTATGATTTAAAAAAAAAGTTAAAAGCAAAATAAGTTAATATTATAATGTAATAAACATTAGTTTTTTTATTTAAGACGTTTAAGACGCATTTTAAAGAACATCTTGTAAAATGTACACTCGTCACGAAATATATTACACGATTTTATTTATTGTCGTGGGTAGTATATTTGCTGCTAATTGCCCAAACAATGAGACATGCAAATGCACATCAAATAAACTGGTCGAAATAAATTGTAAAATGAACGATTCTTCTATTAAAATTCAAATTAGTCCAGGCCAATTTATGAGGGTATGTATATGGGTCTTTTTAAGTCACAAGTGTTCTGTATTTTTACATGTATATACTTGCAAAATTTGTGCGCTTCTTAATACATACAGTCAATACTATACCTAAAATCTAAATTTACATAAAATTTAATAAATGATAAATTTAAATATAAGATAAACAAATTTGTAAAATCAAGAAACATATTACTACTCAAATATCAAAGAATGGTGATTTTAAATATTTTATTACATTTGTTTTAAAGTAAATAATGTAAAAGGCTCAGGTAATTAACAAAATCAACTAAAAATCATAAGAATCGCAAAGAACCATAATGCAAATTCTTCGTGCGAAAGTTATTGTATTCTCATTTGAAATTATTTTCAAACGTTTTTGCCTGACATCAGGCCTTTTTCAGTGTACAATATTGACGAAAGAATCGCACGCAATAATTATAAAAATACAAAGAAGTGGATTATATATTTTAATCCATTTTGCAGAAATATTGTTCGGATGATTAAAATGTATTGTTAAAATTGTGATACAGACATGTTACAAACAAAACCGTTTATCCAGAAGGAACAAGATGAAAGAGTGAATAACAATTAAAACTTATCAGTCAAAAGTTACAATGTTAATAAAACATTAACAAAATATTAATAAAATTAAATTAACATTTTAACTTTTGACTGATAAGTTTGAATAGTTATTCACTCTTCCATCTTGTTTATTCTAGATAGACGGTTTTGGCAGAACATTTGTAAACAATTTCAAACGTGAATACAGTAACTTTTGCAGGAAGAACTTAAATAGTGGCCCTTTACGCTTTTTTTGATTTTGGTTTTATATTTAATAAAATTTCTTATTTACATTAAATTTTTATTTTTATAAAAGCGTAAACTTAAAATATATACAGCAGCAATAAAAAAAAGTAACTATTTTCTATTTTTTTTACTAATGAAAAAAGTGTTGTAAGAATACTTTATTTCTGTTTGAGAATTTTTTTACACTTACTTCGTGAAGCTTGTTAAGTTAATAAATTTGTTAAAAAAAATAAAATCTTTTAAAATTATTTTGTTAAGTTTTTGCGATTAAAAAATTTGTAATCTAAGATTAATTAAAATATGATAAAGATTAAATAATTATTAAAATTAGAATAATTATTAAATAAATTGTATCCAAAAC